TGAGATTTGAACCACTGACCTGCTGATCTAGCAGTAGCCTGCAGTGCTGCATTTAACCACTGCGCCACCTTGGCGCAGTGGTTGTCCTCACTGTTAGAAATTTCGCCTTAGTTCTAAGTTTTTTTTCTCCTTGATTAGTTTTCATCCATGCTTCTTGACTGAATCACCTGATTGTGTTATAAATTCAAGATACAGTACCTTAGCCTGCATTAATAGCATAAATGTTTTCCCCTATAAAATGCAGTGTTTACTTTGTTGTATTTTGTTACATAAATCCCTAGCATGTTTGTTATTCTGAAGACTTAAGGTTAAATTTTATAAATAGTCCAAAAAATGAATTTGATCACTTTTTGCAATGTACAATATTTACATTTGAAAGGGAAGGGAAGTATTGAAAAAAAAGTTATAATTATTAAGGTAAATAGCATTAGGCTTCATTAATATATTAGTTTAATTAATTGCTTGTATAAATAACACAGAATGAAAATTGATGAAACATTATAAAAATAAAAATGAGTTAAAAACAATCATCCTAGAAAAAAAAAAGACAAGATTAAGGATAGTTATAAATTATATAACTATAATTAAACATTATGAAATATAAAATACAACGTAGCAAGGAAAAGAGAATTTGTTGCTTTAGACATTTTTTTGTAATAACATTTTCTTATTCTATTTTGTAACATGAAAATTTAGAAAAAAATTTAAACATCAAAAAACAATTTAAACCTAAGTTCAAAACAAAATAGATTTAATTTTCAAGTCCCATGAACTATAGGACTACTATCTAGAAAATATAGATTTACCTTTTCAAATTGGATTAAATATTAGGCTGAAAGTAACTCAGATAAATTTGCTTCTTTTAAAAAATACAAAATTTACAAATATGAACAATTGCTACTGTTTCATTTATTTATATTCATTCATTAAACGTATAAAGAAAAGTTAGGACAGTTTTGTATAAATATCTTGGCAACATTATAGATTGATTCCACCTTCTTCCCAGGGAATATTAACAATAAATACCCTCTTAGCCAGTTGTTAGTAATGATATGTAATAATGTAGCTGTGTAAACCTTTCAAATATGTTCAGATCCTGAGAATTCATAGATTGATAAATGCATATTCTTTTTATAAAGAATATGGAGGTCAAATCAGATTATTTTACTCCCAAAGTGTTATATAAATAAATTGCTAGATACTGTTAATGAAGATAAAATAGAGTGAGTTGAAGAAGAAGAGATGTAGCAAATCTTTCTTCACTGGTATTTTACTAGATTGTATTGTAATATAATGGGAGTCATTTTGGATATAAACCCATAAAATAAAGTTTTATAAATCTTTTGATTGTTTAAATTTCATTAACAACACCAGCATCTAAATAAAGAGTTCAAATTATATGACTTCTAATTTGCATAATTTTTAATAAATTGTTTACTAAGCTTTTGCTGTTGGTCTTTTGTAGAAAGTCACCTTCTAAACATATATTTTAGCTAAATCAGCACATTAAAAATCAATTATCTAGTATCCTTGACCTTGAGAAATAATTACCAGTAAAAAAGTAACACATAATCTTGACTAAAATAAATATTATACAACCACCTTCACAGGAAATGTAGATAGACCTTGCTAAATGAAATGCATGAAGCAAGTTTTAGAAATATTTTATATGTGTATATATTGTATACATAGTTTTAGATATTTTTCTTGCATTTCAGAATGACTTAATTCTACTGCATTATGGATGGAGTAGAGTTCATTATGAAAAAGATGAATTATCTGAAGCAAATAACATTTGCCATTGTTGAAAAGCTTTGAAGTAAACAAAAACTTGTTATTTAAACAGCATATGACTATACAGTACTTTTCACCTAAGAACCTCTAGAAAAGATTGTTTGTTAAGCTCTTAAAAAAAAGTTTTGTGATTTTGACCATGATCTATGTATGTGTGAATCTGTGGTGTATTGCTTTTATTTCCCTAGATAATCTATTCACTTCCCCCATTCCATTAAGGTTCTTTCATATCCAATGAAAGAGGTAATAGTATTTGACAGAAAATATTTGCATTAAGTGCTCTTGCTGGAAACATCAATGCTTCTGAAGAAAATTAACTGTCTGTATTGTATATCAGTATTGTGTTAGCTTCTTGTGGATATGCAAGTTTATAAGCTAATAAGAACCTTTTTGACCTTGCTGGAGTTTCGATATATATGTTAAATGTTGCAATAAACACGATCTTTGATAACCCTTCAGACATTTTCAGTTGGTCTGAATAAAGTATCCGGGTTGTTTATTGAGAGATTGTGCTAGACCTTGAAAAGACACTATCAAGTGTAGTTAGACTGTTACTCATCTATAAACAATTGCATCCTGATAATGTGAGGTTATCACTTTTCCCAAAATGAATTTGTTCATATGCTAAAATATCATGTTAGACTTTGGGGAATAAAATATTTTACTATTAGAATTTTTCTCTTTACATTGATTGGTGGCTGATACATCTTTTTGTATTAAGTCAAAGCAGTGTAATTTGATTAAGCTTTTGAGTTTCCTATAGAATTATGTTCATTTTTCTAGAAAAGGTTCAAAGAAAACTTCTGTTCATATGTGGTAAAGTGAACTTTATTTAGATTTCTTAGATGAAAGGGGTTATCTTAAATCCAGACAACAATTGCAGAATCGGGGGATGGACTTATCTTGGTAGCCATATTTTCAGATCCAATCAAGGCACAAAAAAGATGTTAAATTAATGGGTGTAAATAATGAACAAACAGCTTTGGATAAAATGTTAATGGGGATGAATGAAAAATCAATTAAAATATATTATTTACTGAACTATAAAATGGAGGAAGAGATAGTTAAAGAAAGATGATTGCCTGGGCAAAGAATTTTGGATACAATTAGAACTAGAAAAATGATTAAAAACTACAAGCTGACGATGGCTGTGGCCTAAAATAAAACCTCTACAAAATGTTTTATAGGTGGCATTTGCCACCTGCAAGATTGGCCAAAATGTTACTTCAGATTTAAATAAACATGATAAATCAGATTTGACTTTGTATTCTTCTAGTCTCTCAGGGGTTCTTTGCATTTGTTCAAGAGCAAATAGCTATTAAAACTATTATTTGAACACTACCCAATAATGATTCAATACACTTGTATATATTAAATAAGATTTTCTTGTTCTTTATATCATTTAGACATTGATATTAAAAGAGTGTTTCAGTAGGGTCAAAGCATTAGGGCAAAGTTTTAAAGTATGTTCTAGAAACAAAATGATAGATAAGATATAAGGCTCAGTACTGATTAGCACAAACATTGGGAAATACAATAGATAAATTGTAGGTTACAGTGTAATAGTGTAATCATTGTACTCCACAAAAGACAGGATCGCTGTTTTTTTTCAAACAAAATGATTAAGACTATGAAAATTGTATAATTTTTATTGTTAAGCCGGTCATTACTTTGTTAAAGACTGTATGTAAAAAGTTAAGTCCAACACAACTTTCTTGAATAAATTAAACCAGTAACTCCAAACAGCTTCTGATATGCGGATAATCTTGACATTAAATAAAATTTATAGCAAGTTTGAATAATACTACTAATCTCAGAAGTAGAGAACATGAAATATTTTTATTCAGTGCTTTTCTTGATTTAGATAAAGGTAAGGTTCTACATTTAGGCAAGAAAAACAAAATGCACAGGTAGAGTATATTGCTCAATAGTAGTAACTGTGAGAGGGATCTTGGAATCCTAGTGGACAACCATTTAAATATGAGTCAGCAGTGTGGAGCAGCTGCCAAAAAAGCCAACACAGTTCTAGGCTGCATAAACAGAGGGATAGAATCAAGATCATGTGAAGTGTTAATGA